AAAGTAAACATTGGGCAATGTTCCCCTAACGAAGCTTTTACCCTGTCCTGACGTGCATAAACGTCAGTTACCGGAAACATAAGACGATCTATTTTGGGGCGTTCACAGTTCAAATGTACTCTGGGCTAGTAATTAGTATGCAGAATTATATATCTTACTACATTTCGCGCGCAAACTCCGTCCGCGCCAACTTAAAAAAAAAGCCTATGTGTTTTTCCTGACTATCTACATCTGTACCAAATTTAATCGAAATCCGTTCAGCCGTTCAGGCTACAAACTCTAACAAACATCCATTAATCCATCCATCTAAACTTTCGCATCAAATCTTGAAAGCAGGAAAACCGCTGAAATTTTAGCGTAATTTCCATTCGATCTTTCTCAAAACCGAAGAATAACTGTAATTACCAAGTTTCAAGGTGAAGATGACAAATATGCAGTTTTACGCAAATAATATAGTCATATCTAAAAATATAATAAACGTCACAGTATATTTAACTATAGTCAACATCAACATTAATTATTATGAAAGGTCACTGACCTTTTTATTGCATTTTTAATACATTTCTTATCGAAGAGTATAAAAAACTTGTAATGTACGTAAATTGAACGGCAGAAGGACTAAGACAACGCGTAATATAAAAGTAGATAATTTTTTGGTGTTCTGCAATGTGCCTTTGACTTTACCATTTGTGTACCACGTTTATAATTTTTTGGAGTTTAGATTCTGTTTTCTTGGTGAAAGGAAGTCATTTTGTTTTGGAATTTTGCTGATGATATTCCACAAGACTGTTAACCTCAGTTATTTACTAACAGACAGAACTTGGAACTCTGTTCTGATAAGTGTATTTCGTGCAAATTTTTGAAGGAGTACGCTGTCTTTATAGCGTTTCAATATAAAACGAACATGATTATAGCAGGGGAGAAGTGAGGACACTCAAAGTCAAAGGTATGCAAATAACAAAATAAATATTGACCGTTATATTTTCACAATAAGAATACCGCTTTGTGCTAAAGCGTTAGTTTATAGATGTTGGAGCCAGCGCTGCGCCGTGGCAGCGGAATGTCGATGAAAGCGATAAGCAGGAGGTCGTTCACATCGCATCGTGATGGGATCTCTAAGATCCCCCTTGCAATTCCTATGCAGATTTGCAACATTAGCACATTAGCATTGTCAGACATTTTACAATACTACATTTTGTGAAATTGGTTTATCACACCGATGATTGAACACTATTTTTAGTATTTGTTAGATTAAAGCTCAAATAAACTAAGAATAAAATAAATTTTGCTCGACGTTGACCCATTACAATCTAATAAAAAGACACGGCAATAAAACGTGGTATAAAAAACCAATGCACATAAATGTGGAAATATGTGGTTCCATTTACCGTAAAACTGCGAACGGAAAGCGTTTATTGATCTCCCATTATCGACTCACGAATTGTTTCTAAGGCTATCATACTTTTTGTTAGCGCTGTGCATTATAATGAGGGTAGGTGAATGACTCTTGCGAATTAGGAATAGAACGTGGCCGGCACACTATGCCCACGAAGACGCCATTTTAGGAACGCTAACTTGTTAAGCTCGCGTCCGTATTGACACATAATTATTCTTGGATTAAACCGCTTTGCATTTTAAATTGACGAACGTAATTACACCTTCATTAGCGCATTAATCTGGCATTCAGTCTTCCGTATTGGCACCATTCGATTAAAATTATACCTGTTAATTTAAATCAAAATGCGGGCGCCCTTTTTCCAGATTGATCGATAGCATGTGAACAGCAGCAGTACCTGAATAACGGAAGATATGCTGATGAAACAACCAAAGATCCGAAAAATTATTTAGTAGCGAACTTTAAATACCTATTACTGTTAAGTCCTCCCACGCACGAAGTTTTAATTAATGATTAGCATGCCTATTGAAAGATTGAATGGTTTAACCAAAGGTAACAACCGTAATAATCAACTCTCATAAAAACGAAGCTGTATACTATAATCGCCATACTTTTATAGTACTATACTTCAAAACAATGTAAAAACTTTGATTTGTTAAAGTAGAGATCACTGTGAAGAAAGGTATACTTTTATCGGTAAACATCTTCAAGGTTCTCAATCTAACACAAACGGCGTAGATAATGAAATGTGACGAAATCTCGAGATCAAGGTGAGTGTCGCAGGCATCAGTGAACAGCAAACAGAGCGGAGCGCGCCGCGGCTCTTTCCGCATTGTTCACCAGAAACCTCTTGGGTTTCGACGTAATTTGATGCGGTCCCACGTCGACCTGACCGTGACAATAATGACGCGCCATTGTATAATAAGGACGGCAACGAATCATGAATAATATCAGATTTTAGAACATAATTCAAACTAAGGAAAAACTTTGCGGGCTGATTACGAGTTCAATTTTGACATTTTAAAATTCTTGTTCCCTAATATTCAGATGACACAAAAAGATAAAGGACCTAAACAATGTGTTTAAGTCATTGTAGGCACTGTATGACAGAACATGAGTCATCTTTGAGTGACTGTCTCGACAATGTAACCTATTTATAGACGTTAACGATGTTTAACGCTGGACGGTAACCGACGCTTGGAATTCGAGGCCTGAAATTTTAACGCATAGCAACTGTATTACACTTAATGTGAATATTCAGTTTGATAGCAACGCTCTGGCTTTTGACCCAATTGGATTTTATGATAACAAACGATTTTCTCTTTCTATTAGCTAACTAAGGCCTTATATCAGCTATCAGTCATCCTTAAAGCATACTAGTATTCAAAAAACCTTTCAGAATCGAACACACGATGGATTGAATACAAGTTTACTAAACTTCTGAGCTACGTCGCTTCTTTATACAAAACGAGTGTAATTAAATTAAAAAAATAAATAATTATTCCAGTTTCAGTTTTAAACTTCTAAAATTGTCAAAATATGGTAACTTATTCCTGTTAATTAATTAGATAATTCAAATCAATTTAATTTTGTTTTTAACTAGATTTGACTTGTGGTATGGCTTCTCAGATAGTAGTTCAATGCCTATAAATCAGGTTACATCATAAATACCCGGTAATAGGTAGTGCGTAATACCGCTGCCTCGGCGCGGCGCCGGCATGGTTCCAGCCCGGCCGTGATGCAATGCCAATTTGCAACTGATCATAAAACATTGGTTAGTTACAAGTTAAAAACAACGAGAAAGTCAACGTACAATGTAGTCTCCTTAAAAGTACATTATTTGTCACTGGTTATCCTCGTGTCTTTAATTCGTGGGGACTTTTTATATTACAAAATATTGAAGACGCAAGGTCACTTTGATTTCTTCGCTGAGTAAATTATTTATTTTTACAATATATTTCTGGAGTATTAGTTACGTAACCATTGTTACGTATTTTGTTTACCAGCAGTAAACACTACCTTATAGAGTAACATTCCACTACAGTTGAGACAAGTATTTTCTAACTATACAATCCTTAATAAGGCTGTATTGGGTGGGTACAGGTAAATTATGTGGGTGTAGATAACCGCCTTCCGTAGTTCGATTAACGTATGGAATACCAAACAAGCTGTCATACAGTTACAAATATAACGGACATAAGAAATTCATCGATCGTAACGTGAATCACATAAACAAGATTCAAGGTTATTTCTGATGCAGGTACTGTATTGTAGTTGACTTAACAATAGCATAACATTATACTATACTGTATGACAAAATTACCGGTCTATTACAAACTTGGTTTTTTATACATGTAACATTTGTTTTTCATAAATCTCGACTAAAATATTGCATTCCACCACACTCGCTAATCTTAAAGCAATATTGGTTTATATTTGCTCTTTTGCGTTATATTACTTTGGTTACTACCCACTTGTGACCCAACTACTCATCGATTGCGAAATAAGCGTAGGCTGACCACTCAACCAAACAGATGTCTTTATAAAGATACCCCGAACCGAACATAATATATTCCACTGAGGAATATAATTTTTTGTGGCTAGTATCTCTTAAAACAGCAATATATTGCAATAATTATATGCGGCCCAACTACATATTTCTGTTACTTAACTGTCCAGTGTGACAAACAATTGATTTAAAAAATCTACTGAACTAGTTTATTCATATCCATAATATGACTACGAAAAAATCAGTTTTTTTTTTGCTACAAAAACTCCATTGAATTAAGGGTTAAAGAAAATAAACAATAAACCGATCAAAACGCCATCTATCAACTTCAGCTGAGAATATTAATTCAAAGAGTGCCACAATTGTTTTGTAGTTAGCAAACCTGGCTATTAACCAAAACAATTTTTGGTATCCTTTCGATTTTATTTGGGTTTTATGACTTCCTTTAAAACTTGTTATAACGGACTTACATAACGTGAAATACACCAACTTAAAAAGTCATTATAAATTAGTTTCCTTCCATGCTTCTTTTATTGCATAAAAAAAATATTGTGGTAAATCTATACTATTATAATAAAGCGTAAACACACGCTACTTTGTGGCGTAGGAATCACAACTTTTTTTTCATTAATTCTTTCTTTAATAAAAAGGCCTACACTTACGACACGCTGTAGGCTTTATATTTACACACTGTTAAACTCCCCCTGAGTTTAAGTAAAATAATAGGAAAAAACTTACATGTAGAAAAGGGACCATAAACTACTAGCTGGCAACATAAAGGCAACTTATTATGGTAACAATAACTTTAGTCTTTAACTTCTATACTGTCTTCTTCTAGTCTGGTCTTTAACTTTATAAGTCGCATGGGACCAGCTAGTTTATCATAAAAGCATTCAAGTATTAAAATAGTTTTTTTAAACTGTACTGAACAATAAAATTTCAAATGTTACCTTGAAATATGAATATGCTTGAATAGCTCTCGTCTTTACTGTTATGAATAATCGCTAAGCATATCTTGCTTATCTTAAAGTTGATAAAGACTTGACAGTATGATAAGGTAACTGTAAATGAAATAAATTTGCATTTCTTGAAGAATACATACTTTAATTATAATCTTATACAATACAAAACAACTAAGTAAATACAGTATAATATAAATTTAGTAAACAACATCATTTTACATTACTTAGCTTGAAGGCAAAACCAGACAGAATGGACCTCGGGTGCTGCAATTAGTAATGCTTTTGGTCCCATATGTTGTCACTATTTCTCTTCTATTTACTTAAATGCAGTAAGTTTTCTCAAATAATTAGTACTTCTTACAACCAGTATTTTAGTGTTTACAATAGAATTGTTTATTACAATATTTATAACTATTAAATAAAAGTTTGTGCTAAATACAAATTGTGCTTTTTAAATTCTTAACAGGCAACATTTAAAAGCTTGATTTATCCAATAAGCAACAATAACCACAATGTATCTTTTATTTTTATATTATTAATGGCATATTTTATGTAAATTCAGTTCTGCTTAACTGGCCAATATATACTTTGTATTATCAATTAGTAACTTTTAAATATATAACTTTTATATGCTGTACAAGTTTGCCACTTTTAGGTAAAATTGTTCTCCATACATAAAGCAACACCTAGTAATACTTAATATCGCTAAAATCTAAACATATTTGACTTTAAGTCAATAAGTATATAAATATTTACCTGAATAAATTACCTTTTCATCCATTAATAATTTTGTAGACACATATCAAAAGCTATTGTATAAGAAATTTGCTAGAAATATATAACAGTGTGAAGGTAAATGTGGTATAAAATAGTTTCTTTTAAGTTTCAGTCAAGTTATAGGTCAAATTTCTTTCATAATAGATAATAGCTGACAATAAATCAATTTCTTTATGTCTAATCATTCTGCACATAACAAAAGTAAATTTCTTTTTAATTTAAATACAATTTTAATTTCTTCCTTCCAAGTCTGTAAAGCAATTTAGCATTAAAAGATAGAAGTTAGACACAACTAGAAGTTTGACTTGTTGCTACACTTTCAAGATGTAAGGATTGGTGGTGATAATGATGACAATAACCATGATGTAATCCATAAATGGTGAATCTCATACCTCTGTGAGTGTAATCAGAGGTGACTGGCAAATCCGAACTTAGTTAAATTAAATGTATGGATTACTCAGTGTGCAAAAGGCACAAGTATCAAAAAATTGAAGTTACTTAAAGGAGCCAGCATTCACTTAAATTAGTCAAAATCGTGTATAGCTCTTATAAGTTACAAAATCCATGTTTAAGGAAATTACCATTGTTGTAATGCAGAATTCAATGTAAAATTTGTGCAAAATTATTGCCCAGAGTTTGGAGGGGCTTCAGTAACTGGAGGAGATGGAGCAGGCGCGGAGGCTGAGCTGGATCCGGATGTAGCCCACACAATAATGATGATAAGTAGCACCGCACCGATAGCACCGATAATTAGCATCATCTTCATGTTTTGCCACCAGTACTTTCTTTTCAGCTTACCGGCCTGTTGTTCAAATTGCGCAGCTCCATGCTGTAACGCATCTGCGCGATTGTCTAGTTCGGATAACTTTTGATCTCTTTCCAAAACTTTCTCAACGTTGACACGCATTATTCCAACAACTTCATCGACTTTAGCTTGAGTTTGTGCTAAGCGTTTATCGCTTACCCTTGGCGCAGATGTTCCACTTTGTTCCTCCATTGTTAGATGTTTGCTTTTTTAAAAGAAAGAAAGAAACAAACAGAATTAGACGAAATAAAGAAACCAAAACGCTTATACTTAACACTTGTCACGAATATAAATAAGGCAATATGGCGTCAGACATAACATTTCCTTTTGACAGTCTCCAATTCTTTTTTAAATGAGTCAACGATCAACGATAATCAAGACAAATACAAAGAGCAATTTATTGCCACATTAAATATTATTCTACAGTATTGGTTAGTTATATTGGTTATTTGGGACTGGGAGAGTTACTAAGATATGATTCAAAGTATCATACGGTCCAACAGTTCTAACCGTTTTAATATCTAGAAAAAAAACCCAATTATTTCTGATCATAAACTTTAACATCATGTTTGGCAACACCGTTTGAAACTCAGAAAAAAAAACTGTGCGGCTCATGTCTCATGCATGTTGATCTCTGGTGATTTCTTTCTTTAATTTCAAATATCTGTCTTGGTTAGGTTGCATACTTGTTAAATAAAGAATTATTAGTGAAAAGGATTAACAAAAAATATCAAAATGGTAAGTGTATTTTCATTAAATTGCTACATGCAATTCGTTCGTTTGTCTTGCATGAGTTAGCCGATCTTTTTTTCAGCACATGTGGTAATTTTTAACAAAATTTCTTTAAATACGTACAGGTGTCACTAAATCCAATCAGAATATTGAAGAATGAGGCGGAAGAAGAAAAAGCAGAGATTGCTCGAATGTCTAGCTTTATTGGAGCCATAGCTATTGGCGATCTTGTAAAAAGTACTTTGGGCCCAAAGGGAATGGACAAGATTTTAGTCTCTAGCGGCAGAAACGCTGGGCAGGTATGAGTTTTTACTTTATCATTTGTACATTGTAATTGTGACTTGTTTCTAAATAGGTTATTTTAATTACTTAATTATTTACAGGTTGAAGTAACAAATGATGGTGCTACTATATTGAAATCTATCGGTATTGACAATCCTGCTGCAAAGATTTTAGTTGACATGTCAAAAGTTCAAGATGATGAAGTTGGTGATGGAACAACATCGGTCACAGTATTAGGTATGATTTTAATATTCAAGGTAAAATTATGTGAAGCCTAACCAAAAATATAAATATTGTCGCCTGAGTGTGCTTCAATTGTCTTCTTGATTACAAAACTTTATAATGTATGCAAAATTAATTTAATATTTTTCCACAGTTTAGCAAGTGTTTTTATATCTTTAACTTGAATTACAAAAAGTAATTAAAAACCCATTGGTATTATAAATATTTAGAGCCATTATCAATTATTCATATAAAAGTCAATTTGCCTAACAAATTGGTGGTAATGAACTGTTATTGTAATTTCCAGCTGCTGAATTGCTGAGAGAGGCAGAAAAGTTGATTGAGCAGAAGATTCATCCTCAGACAATAATAGCTGGTTGGCGCATCGCCAGTGCCGCGGCAAAGCAAGCTCTAGCTGAAGCCAGTTTTGATCATGCAAATAACCTGAATGAGGCATCCTTACGCGCCGATCTTGAAAATATTGCCCGGACAACTTTAAGCTCTAAAATTCTATCAAATCACAAAGAGTAAGTTCTATTAAATATTCAAAATATGAATTTGTATTACTCACTAATTGAAAAGTTTACTTGTCTTAAGAAACTATATTATTGTAGTTGGACAACTATTGTAATTTAAATTTGTATTTTTTCAGGCATTTCACAAAACTAGCAGTTGATGCTGTACTTCGTCTCAAAGGTTCTGGCAATCTTAAAGCTATACAAATTATGAAGATCAGTGGAGGTCTTCTGGAAGAGT